CTACTCGGGAGGCTGAGACAGTAGGATTGCTTGAGCCCAGGAGTTTGAGGTTGCTGTGAGCTAGGCTGATGCCACGGCACTCGCCCCAGGCAAGAGAGTGAGACTCTGTCTCAAAAAAATAAATAAATAAATAAAGCCTATTTTTAAAAGTCTTTAAAAGGATATCAATTTATTGTATCTTCTGGCCACATGTAAATCCAGCCCTTTGATAGTATCAGTGTCAATTTCTTTTCTAGGAAATATAGTTACACCCTTGAATTGACTTTGTTGCCTTTCTTTTTCAAAAGTCAATTTTGACATCTACCAACCCCCAAAATAAACCTCCTCCAAAAGATATTAGGACTATAAAAAGAAAAGACTCTTTTGTGTTGAAGTACGGGAAGTTCACTAGTTTGGCCTTTTAACTGATAAGCTTTAAGGGAGCATACACTAATGCAAACTGAGAAATGTAAATAATAGGTCAAAAGGAGGAAACTAAAGAAAAAAAATTTTACCTTTTCGGTATTAAGAAAACAAACAGGATTGTTTGGCTCGAATACTCCAATCAGCCAAGGATTATCAGAATAATCTGCATAAAATTCCAGTTCCAGCTTAACATCTTTAAAGTTAGGTAGGTATATCACTGCATTGGCCACTTTCTCTGATCCACACTCCAGCTTTCCCTCATAGGTCAGCTTATTACTTAAGGACATAATTTTACTAAGGGAATTACAAAAAATAACTTTAGTTTTTGTAGATGAAAACAAACATGAAAACCACTCATAGCCAACCCTGTTACAAATACCTGTTCATTCTGTACTGCACAGTTAACTGCACAACAGCATTCTTATTCTGCTCCAGCCTCTTGAATAAGCTTTCAGTCATACCAAGAGCTCTGTCAACAAATCAAATTCAGGCTTAACAATGTACTAAAACTGTCCCTTAAAAAGAATCCAGTTGAAAATGAAAACTAAATGTCCACCCACCTTGCTTCTTGGTTTAGCACCAGGGGAGGAAGCTGCTGATGATCCCCCACCAACACGAATCTCCGTGAAAAAAAAAGTGGCCCCAGGCAAATTGGTTGGCTAATTTGAGAGGCTTCATCCACGATACAAAAATCAAAAGTTTTACGGGAAAATATTGGATGGTTTATTCCCATACATGTTGTTGCAACTATAAGCTAAAAATAAAGAAAACAGATGAGTTATTTAGTATGTAAAAGAAATGTAGTTTTGTTTTTCCAATTTTGGAAATTAAAAGATCAAAGAAAGTTTTTTGTCCCCTAGCATCAGAAATCCTCCAATGTTATTATTATTTTTGAGGTGGGGTCTCTCTGTCACCCAAGCTAGAGTATAGATGCGTGATCATAGCTCACTGCAACGCTCACTGCAACCTCAACTTCCTAGGTTCAAGGAATCCTCCTGCCTCAGCCTCCCAAGTAGCTTCGACTATAGGCATTACAGAGCAAGACTCTGTCTCAAAAAAAAAAAAAAAAAAAGAAATAACAGTTAAAGATGCCTCACGTTTAGCAAGAGACATTAAATTTATAGATAGGATAAGCTGAGAGAACCCCAAATAGAATAAACCAAAAACATCTACTACAAAATACATCATAATTAGAATTCTAAAAACTAAAGGAAAAAAAATCTTGAAAGCAGCCAAGGAAAACAACACTTTGCAATAGGGGAAAAATTTGTGAATTTGAGTGACTGTGTATTTCTCATCAGAAACCATGGTAGCCAGAAGGAAGTAGTAGCACATTTTTCAAGAACCGTTAACCCAGAATCCCATACCTAGTAAAACTATCTTTCAGGAATGAGGAGAAAACTCAAAAGACTTTTCACACTGAAGGAAAACAAAGAGAATTTGTTGTCACCTGACCTACCACTCTAAAAGAATTGATACCCAGGTTGGGGAGGCAGAGGTGGGAGGCTCACTTGATGCGAGGAGTTCAAGATCAGCTTGGGCAACACAGCGAGGTCCTGCCTCTACAAAATAATTAGACACATAGTATGTGCTTGCAGTCCCAGCTACTGGGGAGGCTGAGGTAGGAGAATTGCTTGAGCCCAGGAGTTTAAGCAAACATACGGAATAATACAATAGGGTTTCCTTCTCAAAATTATGTTTGATGGTTGAAGCAAAAATTATAATACTGTGTGATGTAGTTCTAAAGTTAAACTAATTTAAGACAATTATAACAAGGGAGGGTAAAGGGATATTAATAGAGGTAAGGTTTTTTACTTGAACTGGCAAAATGATGACACCAGTACACTGTGATATATATATAAAATATAATACCCGGAGCTACAGAGCAACCAGTAAAAAATCTACTTAAAGAGATACACTGAAAAACACAGATAAATTAAAATGAAATTCTAAAAATGTTGACACAATCCATAGGAAGGCAGGAAATAGAATACAGAGAAACAGAGAACAGAAAATAAAAAATAAAATAGCAGACTTAGGCCCTAATATATATCAATAATTATGATAAATGTAAATGGTTTAAAAACACCAATTAAAAGATAGCAATTGGTAGATTAAAAAACATATCCAGCCTATATGCCATCTATCTACAAGGAACGCCCTTCAAATATAATGATATACGTATGTTGAAAGCAAAATCATGGAGTATTAGATTGATTTTCATAGGTTGAATGGTCCTTGACTTATGGGACTAAATCCCACTTGGTTATGGTATATAATCCTTTTAATATATTGCTGAATTTGGCTTGTTAGTATATTGTTGAGCATTTCAGCACCACACAAATATGCCCAATTGATTTTGTATTTTTTATTTTTTTAGAGATGAGATCTTACTATGTTGCCCAAGCTGGACTAGAACTCGAGGGTTCAAGTGATCCTCCTGCCTCAGCCTCCTGGGAGGGAGGGATGGAAAGAGGGAGGGAATGAATAGATAAATAAATACTGGGAACCACCCGGATTTTTAATGGGTGAATGAATGGTTAAACACAGTATAGTATATCCATACTATGGAACAATATTCACCAATAAAAAACATTGGTTGAACATGGGGGACAAAATAAAGAAAAAAGAAAAAAGAACAAACCATTAATACATACAACAATCTGGGTGAATCTCCAGAGAATTAGGCTCAGTAAAAAATGCCAATCCCTTGGCCGGGTGCGGTGGCTCACCCCTGTAATCCTAGCACTCTGGGAGGCC